GAGGGATGCCATTCACAAACGAGTGGCTGATATGATTAGTGCGGCCGCTCTTTGCGGCGTTAATATCATCTGCTTTCAGGAGGCTTTCAGTGAGTGATGTCTTAATGGGTGATAATGTGATGAAATAGTGATGATATGTCTGTATGTATACAGCGATGCCCTTCGCCTTCTGCACCCGCGAGAGGTTGCCGTGGATTGAGTTGGCGGAGAGCGCTGAGACCGGACCCACCACTACATTCTTGCAAGAGGTAGGAGTTCCCCATCACTACCATTGAGTTATATTGAAAATATTTATACTTTGAACGATAGATCGCTAGAATGAATGATATGGTAATAGTGTCACCAATTCTGGAAAGGGATGAAACTCATGGCGATATCCTATGGAATACAGCAGTCGTTATTTCAAACTCGGGTCAAGTATTAGGGAAATCGCGAAAGAATCACATCCCACGTGTTGGAGACTTTAATGAGGTTTTTGAATATATGATTATTTGTTTATAAATAAGTTTCAAATGAATATATTCAATACAATAATAACAGATATTATTTGTAAAAATTTCTAAGATTAATAAATTATTTTGAAATATAGTCGACATATTACATGGAAAGCAATTTAGGACATCCAGTGTTTGAAACGAAATTTGGGAAAATAGGAATCAATATCTGTTACGGTAGACATCACCCGCAGAATTGGATGATGTATGGCCTGAATGGGGCTGAGATTGTGTTCAACCCATCGGCAACTGTGGGCGAATTGAGTGAACCCTTGTGGCCCATAGAAGCCCGATGTGCGGCTGTTGCCAACCATTACTTTACATGTGCTATAAATAGAGTGGGAACGGTATGTTGTGACATAATATTGCGTTAAATTTATTTCTAAATATATTGGATACGACAGGAAGTATTCCCAAATGAGTTTACTTCTGGCGACAAAAAGCCGGCGCACAAAGATTTTGGACACTTCTATGGCTCGAGTTATATCGCAGCTCCCGATGGCTCAAGAACTCCAGGACTCTCTCGTATAGATGACGGACTACTTGTGGCCGAAGTGGATCTCAACCTATGCCGTCAGGTCCAGGATCACTGGGGGTTTAGGGTTAGCAACCTTTAGTTTACTTATTCAATAAGTTTTTCATTTGTTTATTTATATGGCAAAACAGATGACACAACGCCTGGATCTATATGTCTCGGAACTGAAGGAAGTGATTGAACCCAATTTCAGACCCAATATAATTCGTGAAAATAAATAATTTCTTTAAAAGGTTTGTATATTTATCATATGTAACACAACTTATGGCTTATTTGTTGAATCTTTCAGTTCTACGAGTTTTGGATCTTTTAAACTATTCTTTATATTGAATTTGTGTCAAGAATTTTGTAATTCAACTAATTTTGAACAATAAATGCAACAAGTATCTTTTAAAAATAAATACGATTTTATTAAAACAAATATAAAATAAAATTTAATACAAGAATGAAGAGCCTGAAGAGATGGCCGACCCTTCAGGTGGTTGAGCGCTGAAACTTTGACGCTTTCTTTGATAATAAAGAGTTGCCAAAAGTATAACAATTAATAAAAACATAGTCACAGAGACTGCGACCATAGTCCAGGC